TTTGTAAAAGTATTTTCTGTTGTAAGAGAACAAATTACTAGAGCACTTCAATGTAAGCCTACAGGATTGGATAAATTTAAAAATGAGTTGCAACAATTAACATATTCAAGAATCACTAATCTTTGGCAACAAGAAAGGACTACCAGGGAAGAATGGGAATTTCATGCAAGACCAATTGTCGAACTCAGAGAACAAATTACACCTGAAATTTTAGATCTTATTCAACAACAACGTTTAGGTTTTTTGGTAGAAGGTACCAGGTTTATGAAATACAGTGCCAGAGGACAGGTACTATTTTACTTTATTGAAAATCGTAATAAAATTATTTACTCTCTACAGTTTCATATTTGTATTAAATATTTTAATCTTTAACAGAGAATTAAGGACAAATTTTGGTATGTTCGACTTTCACCTAATCACAAAGTATTTCATTATGGTGATTGTGACGAAAAATCGGTGCCAACAATAGATGAACTTCCTACAAAATTAGCCGTTGTTGAAATTCGTGGTTTAGTAACTGGTAGAGATTGTCCGCACATGAAGGATTTACAGCGACGCAAAACTACACATCAGTTGGCGTTTTCTTTAATGTTGGATTCTGTGGAAGTTTCAAGCCTAGACTTTGTTGCACCTGATGAACAAGTTTTTGACTATTGGACTGATGGCATTAATGCCTTACTCGGTATGTAATATACATTATATGTACATACGTGTTGAATATTATTTTCTCTCAATATAGAGGTATTTATGTACAGGTATTAGAATGACCAGTAAACAAGCAGAAAACGATTTGGAAACATTACTATCTATGGATATTAAATTAAGACTTTTAGACGCAGAAGGAATTGATATTCCTCAAGAACCACCAGCTATTCCTGATCCGCCACCAAATTACGATTTTTGTTATGAGTTAAAGTAAAAGTATTTTTTATGTTCAGGAATCATAACAGTATCATGTGAGATATTTTATTTTAAATTTACATTTTTATACAAATGAATCATTTTTAATACTTTTATTAATGTCGTTTACATATAGAATACATCAAATTTTTGATTAGATAAATTTAACATATTTTAATTACGTAAGGAGACGCAGTACACGTTACCAAAGATATATTTTACATTTTTATATATACACATTACATCCATTATTTTAAATATTATTTGTATATATCAATTTGATACTTATATAACGATATATCGATTTTATATTATAACGATAGTAGATAGATCGAAGAATGAATATTATTTACAATTCCATTAACAATTTTTATACTTACTTAATGGTAATCGTAATGAGACTATATTTAAAATCCTGTTCAATCAACTTTTTAGAAATTTATATAGAGGTGTAATAAATTTTTAATGTAAGTTAATAAATTATTTAATGAATTATTATGCTATACGTTTAATATTATATATAAAATAATATTAATGTTAATTAATAATGCTAATAATATTAATAATAATGTTGAAGCCATTTATAATGTAAGTTTTGTGCAGATATTGTATAATTATTTAAAACAAAAATAATTATATAATCAATATTTTTATCTTTTAGAAGTGTAATATTGTTATAAAATAGTGGTTTCGTAATAGTTTACATGATATCTTCTGAAAGTATTTGGTAATTTTGAGGATTGTTTGCCTGGTGATTTGGAGGACAAAGAAAGAACTCGATAAAATTGAGAACAGGACCTCTACTAAATGGATTTAAATATCTTCCTTTCTTATCTCTTAAATATGAATATCGTTTATAGTTAAACATTTCATTTGTGGTTAAGTTCATGCAAGCATGTAATACCTACGTAAAAGAAGATAAGTTACTATGAATCCAGACAAATATTTCATATGGTATAAAAGTATATTTTATAATTACCGAAGTGCATGTTAGAATCCATCCAAGTCCACAAAACACTAAAGCTTCTAGTACCCCCAACACATATAGTAATTGGATTCCTTCAATTGCCATACAGTAGCAGGCAAAATAAATTGTAAAAGAACAATTTATTGCTACACACATGACGAACAAGAAGAACCACATTCTGTAATAATAATTTATTAATGAGTAACGATTAGTAAGCATGTTATAAGTAATATAATTTTTATATTGTATGTATAATTTTATAATTTACCTGTTTCTTAAACCCACACAGTTGTATATAAAAGGACAGTGATGATCGAAATATGTAACACATCTATTACATATTCTGCAATGTTTAGCCCTTAGCGGTCTGAAGCATCTACAACTGTGACATAATCGAGATAACAATACATTTCGTTTCTTCCATTTATCAAAGTATGGAATCTAAAATAGAGATCGTTACATGTATAACATTTATAATATTCAATACTACATGATGTCAATATTTTCAAATAATACCTGGTTGATTGCTCTATAATAAGTTTCACTGTTTTGTGGTATGTAACCAGGATCTCTTCTATTTGCTACAATCCATGAAATCCACATAACAATGTTCCAATAAATAAAGCAATAATGACTACCGCGTAAGAGGTTCCACGTTAATGGGATACATTTTAGTAAGTACATTGGATATCCCCATAAAAGAACTGATACCATAAATAATAATATAGGACCTTTACTGTTGCCAGCTCCACCAAATAATAATGCCCTTAAAAATAAATGGATATTAATACATTATTCTGCATACATTATACGAAAGACGAAAATACAAACCAAAGTTCATTGATAGGTGGAATCCATCTAGACCGTCGCTTTTGTTCAGCTTGAAGTATTCTTATAATCTCAGAATGTCTGTGACTTTTAGCCAGCTGTAACGGTGTTTTACCATTTTTATCACGAGGTTCTAATTCAATTTTACTTTTCTCACACAATATTTTAACGCAACTGAGATTGCCAGAAAGACATGCTAAGTGCAGTGGAGTAGATCCAAAGTAATCTGGTTTTTGTAAATCTACTCCACTATACATGAGTAATCTTATTAGTTCTGCATGACCCTTATATGCAGCCCAATGAAGGGCAGTATCACCGTTTATATCTGTTAAATGTCCTAATGCACCGGACCCTAATAAAAATGCTGCTGTTGCAAATTTTCCAAACATACAGGCAGTCATCAAAGGAGTTAGGCCTTTAAAATCTGCTGCATTAACAGCAACACCTGCCTAGAATAAATAAGAGAAAGGTAATCAAATCGTAATTTTATATGCAATTGCAATTTTACTTAATTTCAATACCTTTAATAACACTTGAACTAACGCACTATGACCTTTCCGGCAAGCCCAATGTATCGGTCTCGGTCCTTGAATTCCAAGACAAGAAAGATCAACTGGTCCATTTCGTTCTATTAAGTATCTCATTACCTATTGCATATAGATTTTCATTTATAAATAAAAACATAGCTTTTTCATCGTAATTGCTGTATGAATTTCATGAAGTTAATTATACAAACTAACTTCGATGTTTCCATCCAGAGCAGCCCAATGGGCTGGGGTATATCCCCATTCATCCCTTGCGCTTAATACACTTAAACCATTCTTTTCTACTAATTCATCCACAGCCGTTATTTCCCTAAATAAACATTACATTTTTTAATATTTTTTCACCTTAGTTCACTGTTAATACGAACAATATTAGGATAACAAGTCTACCCGGATCTAAGTAGTTCGAAGATCTGTTTGGTTTCGTTAGACGGAGTTTGACCGGGAGTAGTTTCGTCGGCATAAATGTTGTCGTCAGGACCGCTTCTCTGTCGCAGTTCAGAATCCTTAGCAGATCCATGATTTTGATGAGTGGTGCTAGAAATCGGAGTATTTGGTAGATGCCCGACCATGTCGGGATCGGGACTTAATTCCCATACGGATCTCGCTGCCCCGGGCCCTGTTACAGGGCTTACAGGATACACCTAAGAAGGTTGATAATATTTTGATAAAATTTTAATCATTAATCATCAATTAAATGTTAAATTTAAGTTCAATTTTAAATCTAAATACTTTAAAAGTGATAAAATTGTTTACCCCGCCATTGATTTGAAACTTGACGCTAGTCTCTAAGGCATTTTATTATATTTATTTACAACTTAAGATGATTTAATTGTTTGATTTTGTTAGTATCATGTTTATTTCATTTTTGTACAACTAATGTATCTTTGTAGCTCACCTTACAAAGCGTTGCGAGCTCCGTATTTACTCGCTCGTGTTCGGAAGGAGTCCTAAAGGATGCGCCTGGGGCTGAGGTTGTTCCACCTTCCTTAACGGTTAGTCACAAAGAAACATTTGGTCCAACCATGTTTTTCAATCGAATTCTTGCTAGACACCGTTTCGTTTATTGTAATAAAGTCTAGAACAATACCTTCCTTATACAGCAGTTTAATTAGTTAAGAGCAGCAATGTTCGCACTTCAAAGTGAGACCATACTAGTTGCGTGACATTGCGCATTAAAATCAATACTATAGTTGAATGAACGCCTGCGTACTAAAATTGCATGAAACGTAAAACTTATTTTTATTTTTGGAGGTTTAACTAGAGGATAGCTTTATTAAATATTACATTTTATCATTCCTATATACAGTATCGAGCATGGTAGGTTTCCATTGGGAAATTCCTCTCTAGAGGCGAAGGGAAGAGGGGCTCCGGGTTTCCAATCCACCCCTTCAGCCCCGGTGGCAGTTATGTGAAGACTGACAATGTATAAAGGGTTAGAGATCCCATGTATATGTATAGGCTTGGGGAGAATTATATTATTTTGTTTCTAAATCACTTCTAATATTAATATTGTAAAAATGTAAGATTTTGAGAATTTTTGCTTTCTGTATATCACTGCTTTTTCTCGGGAGACCTACACACTGTACTCAATATTATATGAATGTCGTATAAAGATTAAATTCTTAAATAGGTATTATTTTTTATATAGAATATGCATACTATAATTGTTATATACAATATTTTTAAGAAATGGATATTTCAGCTTAAATTTAAATTTAAATACTATTTCTTAACTAGATGGCGTTGTACAAAATTACTTCATCCATACACAACACAGTAATTATACAAAATGCGGTTTACATGTATGACGTTGTGTTAAATGAAATTTAATTGTGATGTATAAAATATTATTAGGTTCCATTTAATTAATATAAAATGGCTCCAACAATTCAGACTAATGGTAACGCTGCAGATAGAGATAAACGTACAGCTAGACCAGCTGAGAAAAGGTAACAATTACAAATGTTAACCTTTACATTTTTGATATTAATATAACTTCTTTAATACTTTTATTTCAGGTCTGAGTTAATATGTAGAGTTAAATATTGCAATACTTTGCCTGATATACCATTTGATCCCAAGTTTATTACATATCCTTTTGAATCCACTCGGTAAGTTTTGCATGTTTATATTTTAAAAGTTCCTTGGGTAATGTACAACTAAGAAATATTTCTAGGTTTATTCAATATAATCCAACTTCATTGGAACGTAACTATAAATATGAAGTATTAACAGAACATGACTTAGGTGTGGAGATTGATCTTATCAATAAAGACACATATGCTGGAGATGTGAATGCACAGTTAGATCCTGCTGATGAAAAACTTCTCGAAGAAGATGTTCTTACTCCACAAGATTCTAAAAGATCCAGACACCATGCCAGAAGTGTTTCTTGGCTCAGACGTACAGAATATATTTCTACAGAACAAACCAGATTTCAACCACAGACTGTTGATAAGGTTGAAGCTAAAGTTGGTTACAGCATTAAGAAAAATTTCAAAGTGAGTTAATAGATCTATACTTTTACTTTAATTATGCATTCCCATGTATGAAATTTTATATTTGTGTTTTTGTTTTTAGGAAGAAACATTATATATGGATCGTGAAAGTCAAATAAAAGCTATAGAGAAAACATTTGAAGATAATAAGAAACCAATTGAAAGACATTACAGTAAACCAAATGTAGTACCTGTAGAGATTTTACCAGTATTTCCTGATTTTAAGGTATTTAGAATTAATAATCTATATTAAATATATGTAAAATATTTTCATTTTTCTATAATGTTGTCATTGATTCTTTTCAGCTATGGAAATATCCTTGTGCACAAGTCATATTTGATTCAGATCCAGCTCCAACGGGTCGTTCTGTTCCAGCTCAGATCGAAGAAATGTCACAAGCTATGATTCGGTAAATTTATTCTTCGTAAATTTTATTAGTTATTTGTATACAATATGCACAAGATATTATAATGTATGTATTGTTGCAGAGGTGTAATGGATGAAAGTGGTGAACAATTTGTAGCATACTTCTTACCTTTAGATGAAACCTTAGAAAAACGTAGGAGGGATTTCACAGCTGGAATTGACTATGCAGATGATGAAGAATATGAGTATAAAATGGCTAGGGAATATAACTGGAATGTAAAAAGTAAAGCTTCAAAGGGATACGAAGAAAATTATTTCCTTGTTATAAGGCAAGATGGGGTAGGTTAAATATGAAATTATTTATTCAAAATATAAGATATAAAATTTAATTACTTACGTTGCAGGTATATTATAATGAACTGGAAACGCGAGTACGCCTTAGTAAACGTCGTCAAAAAGTTGGACAGCAACCGAATAATACAAGGCTGATAGTAAGACACAGACCACTCAACGCTAATGAATTTAAAATGCAAAGGTACAGGGAAAAGCAATTGGAACCACCAGGAGAAGAAGACGAAGATGAAGAAGAGGAAGAGGAGGAAGAGGAAGAACCTCAACAAGAAGTCGAAAAACCAGAAGAAAGGGGTTAATAGCATTACATTTAAAAATTGTTATGATTCTCTCTTTAAAAAAACTGTTTAAAATGACTTTTTGTAATCTGTTTCAGATGGTTTTGAAAACGAAGCTGAATCAAGAGCATCATCTAGAGCATCTTCTCGAGCATCTAGTAGAAAATCCCGTTCTCGTTCAAAATCTCGTTCCCATTCGCCATCAAAATCTAGATCTGCTTCTCGTTCGCGCTCTGAATCACGATCTCCTTCTAGATCACGTAGTAAATCAAGATCAAGATCTCGTACTCCACAATCCAGAAATTCTTCTAATTCAAAGTCACCTTCAAGATCTCGTTCTGCGTCTCCAGTTAAATCTCGATCTGGATCACCAGTTAAATCTCGATCTAGATCTCCAGCCAAATCTCGATCTGGATCATCGTCAAGCTCAAAATCAAGATCTCGTTCAAGATCAAGATCATTCACTGGTAGTGACACTGGTTCCGGAAGTGGTAGTGGATCTGGTAGCGGCAGCGGTGAAAGTGGTTCGGAAAGTGAATAAATGAAAATTATAATGAAAGAACAATTAATGTTATAATGAAGAAACTTAAATTTTAAGCCAATATTCGTAAGCAACCTACATTTTTAAAAACCATTTATGGTTTATCATTATTTTGAGAACATTCTATCGTTATATGTATATAGTGCCTATAATAAATGTAAGGTAATAAAAAAAAGAGACACTATATCGATAAGAAAAATCACGTTTGATAAACGTTATTTTGCCTAGTGTAAAAAAGTACCAGTAGAGTGCAGTTCATACCATCTCGTATATCACCTGCAAGCTTGTTTTTTAATAGCATTGCATCATCTACATGACGTATCTGAATTATATTTTACCGTGATACCCATTAGTGACTTACTGGTAGTTAAAGTGTGAATTTTTGGAGTTTCATGAGTTTATTAAGTGAAATTGAATATAAATATCTATATAAAACATAAAGGTGAGTAAAATAGATTGTATGAAGCACGACATCTTTCATCACTCAATGGTGTTTCGCAAACTTAACGTTTTGAGTTTATTATATGCCCCAAAAACATTGACCCTGATTTATGCGACGCACTATTTCATATACATTTGTAATTGTGCTGTATGTATGTACACATTCAAATACTCTATGTAAATATTGTACAAAAAGTAATTGACAACAACCTGAAAAAACTGATTCATTATATATCTTGTTTATAGATATAATAATATATCTTTTACAAATTGAATAATGCACTGAAAGACGTTCAATTAACATAATATAACGTTTTAATTTATAATTAAATAATATACATATAATTTTGAAGTTTTTATAACATGGCGTCTGGTTACAGATGGCACCAAAAAATAAAGAAAATACTTCATCTGGAAATAAGAGAAAGCGGCAGATTTCAGAAGAAGGAGATGATGAAGATTATAGAAGGCGTAGAGATAGAAATAATCAAGTAAATCAGTATTTAATAAGTTCGTTAAAAGTAAAATGTGTATATTTATTTGACTTGTTAATATTAATATTTGTTACAGGCTGTGAAACGGTCAAGAGTTAAAAGTAAATTACGTACTCAACAAACATTAGAACGTGTGAATCAGCTTAAAACAGAGAATGAATTACTTGAAGAAAAAATTAAAATGCTCACAAAAGAATTAGGTTTCTTGAAAGACTTGTTTCTTGCACATGCAGGTATGTTATTTTATTATGCCAAGAAATCAATTTTTGAATTACACTAATGATTTTAGGTTCAAGTCAACATTCTGTGAATTTTCAAGATATAGATCTAAATGCTCTTTTAGCTGAAGATACAAAATCTGAAGAACAAACAAAACAAACAGCAAAATCATAAGTTGTATGAAATGCCACGTGAAGGAAATAACGTGGTATTGATTATATCTGAGATAAAGATGCACTTTGGTTTATCCATTTCTAGCATAAAGTTAGGCATCTTGGAACGATGTCTACTTTTTAATTGACTTGTAAGGAATTTGAGATGCATGAAATCTTGATAAATGCAATGAATTGCATTTAAAATTTACCATTATTGGTACATGATGAAAGGAGGTACAAAATTGAAAAAAAGGGTTGAATACCAAAAAAATCACAGAATCTATGTGGAGATTTAAATAGTCTACAATGAAAAAAAGTACAATATATATTTATGAGAAAAATATAAATTTTGTCTATAGCAATATATACAAAGAAAAAGAAAAATTGAGAGATAAAGAAATATATTCATAATACATTTAAATGTATTTACAATAATAGAAATGTAATGATTGTTAATGAAAAACGATTTCATAAAAACTTTACGTGTATTGTAAATATGTTCATAACAGAACAGTTAAATCATTCCAGTACTTTGATGTATAAGCACTTAAATATTTTGAATTAAATATTTTACTTTTTCTAAAAAAGAAGTAGTTTCATAATTTGTAAAATGATAATTGAATAGATTATGAATTAAATAAAAGTACATAAAAGTTAATATTAATATTTATTTAGAATAAAGTTATTGAATTTTTGAAAAGATTGCATCTTCGGTAAAGTCAAATTCTACACTTCTCTCCTATAAAAAGACCTGCCGTTAGTTGGATGCAATAACTGAGGTGGCGCTTAAATCAATTTCTGTTCGGCCTAATTTTTGATGAAACGTTGACTATTATACCGACGCGGAATTCGGCCTCGACGCTTGCATCACCGTAACGTTGAATGGTTGAATGTTTTAGTCAAAAACGATGCAATGATGGATGTAGATTTGTTAAGACCAGGCACAGTGCCAATATCACCTGATACAATTCTTTGGTTTGAATTTTTATTAAATCCATCTCTGTTACAACAACATTTATCTAAATCTTCACCCGGTAAATAACTATTTAACCTTAATATTTGTAATATAAACAATAAACAACATTTAGTAAGGCGACTGTCTTGATTTTATCATCATTATTATTATTTTAGATCCTTCAGCTACAGATTTGATAATCAAATTTATGACAATCAATTCAGAACAGAAGGAAAATGAAGTGAAAATTGTTGATACAGAAACAAATGATACAAAACCTAATGCTACAAATAAGTTAACTCATAGAAATCTCGCTTTGAAGATTCTTTCTTTGAAAGTAGCAGCATATTTAAAATGGGATTTAGATATATTAGCAAAAAAATTGCCATTACCAATACAATTGACATTGCTACAAGATCTTTTCTATGTGACATCAGATTTATCTGTTGAAATCCCTGTAGTACCTGAATTTACGATACATTCAATTTCTGACCAAGCTTTATTTACAATTGTTCTTTATCATAGATGGCACATAAGAGCAATTATTTATAGAGCTTTAAATAACAAACAATCTAAGCAACAGTTTCTTCATATGTAAGATTTCAAATGTTTACAACACAGTTGATTGAAATATCTATCAATTGTAAAATGATTTTTATGTTAGTCCAGGTATTCAGGAATCAACTTATGTCCCTCCTGGAGTAATAGATGATATAATTAGAAAATTAGAAGCCCAAGTATCTAACAGTATAAATTTTTTAAATAATATTCTTGAAACTAATGACATAAAACCAAAAATGTTGTCCTTTGATACTTTTCAAATGTTAACAGAAGATAGCACTGAAATTAAACAAAATTGGGAAAACATGTATTCTATAAGCCTAGATGAATTTAAATGTCAGGTATAATTAGCATATTTCTTTTTAATGTTTCATTTATTATTATTATTATTCTATATTATGGTTCATTACTTTGACACTTTTAGATACATTATGATCTAGCAAGATTTCATTTATTAAAAGAGGAATATCAAGAAGCAAAACGGCATACTATACAAGCAAAGGAATTATTTTATAAACTTGATAATTTAGAAAAGCGATTATATTGTAGAATTAAGAAGGAATGTTTAGATGGCTGCTGCTTAGCATGCGAAGTATCTGTAGAAGGAGTTACTTCTAGTCTTACTCAACAATTACAAACTTCGGTCAAAGATCAGTACACTGTATGTATAATTAAATGTTATTTAGAGAACTTATTTATACATAATGTATTAACATTGAGTTTTGTTGTAGAATATATTACAAATTTTACAAGCGGATAATATTGCTAGAGAAATTCCACAAGTTTATAGAGATAATTTAGAACTTGATGTACAGGGAGGATCTGTTAATAGGAAGATTGTAGTAGCTCGCGATCTTTTGCTTCAAATTCAGTGTTTAAATTTGGTTCGAAAAATTTTGGATGGTAATGTTATTCTTGGTGATTATGTAACAGAAATACAAGCAGCTGGAAATAAAGGGGTTGATGTATTTTTTTGGGTAAAATTATATCCTTTACTTCAGATTGTTCATATCGATTTTTGTATCATTCATGCTATATAAGAATTTGTTTTTAGGCACTTGGACATGTTTTGGAAAAAGCAACTGCTATGGATAAAAAACGTATTTCCCGGTATCTTCTTTACCTTGTACATATGAGTAATACTGAGGGAATTGCTTCCAAAATACTTGGTGATCCTTCATATATCGCACTGTTTGATGAAAAAGAATTGGAAGAAATTAGAAAATCAGCTACTGACGAAGAACTTGAATTACCGGAGTTATTGTTAAAAAATGACTGGGGTATATCATTAGCGACGTATACCCGTTAGTATATAAATGTTAATTATCTAATTTGATGTATTAAGTAACTATGAAATAATATGATGATAAATTCTAATTGCAGAAAGCCCAAAGATAGAAATATTTGAATTAGAGCAAAAGTTAATACACTCGTATAACACTACTGAAATTCACGAAATATTGGTACATTTAGATGGAAAACATCGAATGAAACCTTTATGGCATGTAAATAGTTGTTGGGAATTACCTATTCCATTGCAAAGTGTTGTAATGTCACTTCCTAGAGGTTTCCTTCAAGATTATTCATATGTGTTGTTAGCAAAAAGTAGGGAGTTGGTAATGTCTAAAGATTTTGAAGGGGCAATTGAAATTTTAAATGTATTAGAGAAAGAAGCACAGCAACATACACAAAGTGGTAACACATTAATATTTAAGTTATGTAAATTGGTGAATTGGGAGAGCCTTCTTGTTGAAATATGGAGGTGTCTTCATGCATGGCCAGCAACAAATATATGCGATACACAAAGTTTAGTTACAAGGTGTAAGCAATGCCTTGGAGCATTACAAGCAACCGATCAAGTTATTCCACGTCAAGAAATTATTGAGTATTGTACTGTTTTTCTTTTAAATATGGCTGAGTGGGACTATCTTACAAGTTTAGAAAAACGTTGGAGTTACTCGGAATTTGCTGCAGCTATCAGTAGTGTTTGTCAAGACATTATAAAGTACAAGGGAAATAGGAAATTTCCAAGAGAAGCTTGGGATATGGGTAGGTTTCATAAACCTTATGTAATACATTGTTCGGTGTCTCGCATATCATTCTATTGTTATATTTTTAGTTTTAGCTGCATTTGGACCGAGTAGAGATCAACCACAGAAACGAAGTAACAGTGGTAATAGCGGTACTAGTACCGGTAGTGCTTCAAGAGATGTTATCGCTAGCATAAATGGTACCCTTAATAGATTACGCGAACCTATGGTTCTTACCGTTGTTATTTCATTGCTAGCACGTTTACGAAACGTTTTACGCGATGAATCCAGCCTTGAGTTACATACACAGTATCTTTCACTTTGGCCAGCTGGTGTACCAAAGTAAGCTCTTAAGCTTAAAATTTATATAATTTTCTAATAACATATACATATGATCTTACAGTGCCAATTCTTATAACATCAGAAGTATAGGAGAATTATTATTTCAACTCTTAACGCAGGCTTTAAAATATTATCCAAGTAACGTTCCTTGGTTGAGACTGATGGGAGATCTTAATTTTGGTAAGTGTTAAAATAACATTTTGTCAATAACAGCATGCTAATATAATACTTTTAGTTTTAGGATATTACGAAAGTGCAATAAAGTATTATTTAGAAGCTATTATGGTTGCCAGTGATCTATTCAGTCAACCAGTACCACGTTTACAGATTGATGATCTTGTATACAGACGTATGATAAAATGTTGCGCTCATCTACAATGTTATACTCAAGCTGCCGTTTTATGCCAATTTTTAGAAGAAGTAGATTATTCTTTAGCATTTAAAATGGCAGCGAGTGATCAGAAAAGTTGTGCTTCGGCTGATGCTATGGATGCATATTATCATTGCATTTGGGATACTACAATACTTGAGTATCTCATTCATTTGCATACAAAGCGCGGCGAACATCATAGAAAACAGTTAGCGGTTAGTAGTTAAATATTCATTTATTTAAATATATTACTTACTAGATTTATATATGTTTTTGTAAAATTCTTATTCTAGATCAAAGTGATTGGTTTATTGGAATTAAATTCAAATAATAACGAGGAGATACAACGAGAGGCTGCGAATATTCGGAAAGCAAAATTTTTACGAGCATTAGCGAAACAGTACGTTTATTGATAAAAATATATGTATATAAAATTCTATACGATTATATAATAATTTTTTTATCACTTAATACAGTATTTTGTATATTTACAATGATAATTGATAATTAAAACAATCAAATCTCCCTCCTTTTCCACGTTCAACCCGTACCAATCACGGCTTTTTGTTTTTTGCTCTAATCGATCTAATGAAACACGAAAGTAATAAAAATTTTATTATATATGATCATTAATTAAATTAACAATAAACTTTAAAAAAGATGATTTTAAAAATATAAAAAAATACTTTTTCTTGCGTTGAAATTTTATAACAATTTCTAATGTATCATTTTTTTCAAGTGAGTCATCTACGATCAGCCCTTATCGTTGAATACATTGTCGTTGCGTAGTGCGATGAGTGCATATTACTGTTGTACGTAAACGTATACATAAATTATGTTTACATGTTAGAAATAAAGTGTATAAAAGACGTTTATTTTTCAACAGAAGAATATAATAATAGAAGAACTTGACAAATCGTAAGCAAACTATATAGAATTGTTAAAGCGTATAGTTCTCGCAGGATTCAGTCTTTATAAACAAGACGCCATGATGTTCTTGCAACGCCATAATACTGTTATTCGACATTTCGTTCTTTCTACGATAAATATTTGTAATTAAAACTGCATGCGAAATATGAAAAGAATAAATATTGTTTGAAGTATTGTGTTATGTTAAAATAATTTTTAGGTGTTTAATTTTTGGTGAGTACGCAAGAAGGTCTGTGAGTAAATACTTCCTGAAATTCTAAAAGTTCTCTATACTATTGCTTGTTGTAAATGCCCTGACTCTGCCACTGAAAGGAGTGAAAGAGATAGAGATTGAAAGGTTGGCGTCAAGAATGTGGTAACAGGAGTGGGAGATTGTAGTAAAAACAATGCTGGATCGCTAGGCAATTCTACGTAAGTGCATATGCAATTTATTACTAATTATTTTTCTTATAGAATTTTTTTAAATTTATGTTTCTGATACTTTATTGTTATATTTGCGTTTGATGGATGCTGTATATCAAGTTTACAAGACATCTAACCTCACATTTAATATAATATTTCTTTCTTGACTTTATTCGTTCTTTTTGTTTGTTTAATTTAATGTACTTGGACAGTTTTGTACTGCTTTAGATATGTATATAACTTCTTAATTTGTAAATAAAATACATAAATTACATGTACAAAAGATGTTTGTATTAACTATATCAAACAATGTTAGAGGTAGAAAATATGTGTTGTTTTGAATTACAGGTTGTTTAGAAACGGAAGAACTATATAAAACATAGGTGTAGATTATATATTACAGTATTTTTTAACATGGATGATGAAGAGGGATCCTCAAGTTCTGGACCTATGTCTTCATTGAATAGCTTATTTTCATTCACTAGTCCTGCTGTTAAGAAGTTACTTGGATGGAAACAGGGTGATGAAGAGGAAAAGTGGGCAGAGAAGGCAGTTGATTCTTTAGTAAAAAAATTAAAAAAGCGAAAAGGTGCAATAGAAGAACTAGAACGTGCTTTAAGCTGCCCAGGTACACCTAGTAAATGTGTAACAATTCCAAGAAGCTTAGATGGAAGATTGCAAGTTTCACACCGTAAAGGTTTACCACATGTAATTTATTGTCGAGTATGGAGATGGCCGGATTTGCAATCGCACCATGAACTTAAACCATTGGAATTATGTCAATACCCTTTTTCTGCAAAACAGAAAGAAGTTTGCATTAATCCTTATCATTATAAAAGAGTGGAGAGTCCAGTATTACCACCGGTACTGGTACCTAGACATTCAGAATATGCTCCTGGACATTCATTATTGCCATTTCAACAAATAGCAGAACCAACAATGCCACATAATGTATCCTACTCATCCAGTGGATTTAATGCTGGATCTACTGGTGGTGTAAATCCAACTTCACCTATGTCTTCTGTTGGATCTGTTCCCAGTCCAGGAAGTACAACATCGCCAAATCCACAAAGTCCGTATGGTACTAATGGATTGCCAGAAACACCACCTCCAGCATATTCTCCGCCAGAAGATGGTTCACAGCCTGGACAATCACCACCACCAGATCCAGTGGCAATGGATACAAGTGGATCAGCTGAAGTAGCACCTGTGTGCTACCAAGAACCACCTTATTGGGCCTCTATTGCATATTATGAATTAAACTGTAGAGTGGGTGAAGTATTTCACTGTCATTCTCATTCTGTTATTGTGGATGGCTTTACAAATCCGAGTAACAACTCTGATCGTTTTTGTCTTGGACAATTGTCTAATGTAAATCGAAACTCAACTATTGAAAATACAAGAAGACACATAGGAAAAGGAGTACACCTTTATTATGTAGGTGGTGAAGTTTATGCAGAATGTTTGTCTGATTCTGCTATATTTGTGCAATCTAGAAATTGTAATCATCATCATGGATTTCATCCTAGTACAGTTTGTAAGATTCCACCAGGATGTTCACTGAAAATATTTAATAATCAAGAGTTTGCTCAGCTGCTCTCACAAAGTGTTAATCATGGTTTTGAAGCAGTATATGAGTTAACAAAAATGTGTACTATAAGGTAAACATTTGCTACATTTAAAAAGATTAATACTTGAAAATATTATTGATAATATGTATGTGTATATATATATTTGTTGCAGAATGTCATTTGTTAAAGGCTGGGGTGCCGAGTATCATCGACAAGATGTTACATCAACACCTTGTTGGATTGAAGCACACTTACATGGACCCTTACAGTGGTTGGATAAAGTGTTGACACAAATGGGTTCTCCCCACAATGCTATAAGTTCTGTATCATAATTTGTGCTTCATGTTTAATAGGAAGAAGATAAAATAGTGATATGTAGGTAAAAACCAGATTCAAGAGCAGTTTTTAATATTAAATAGTGCGATAGTAATATAGACATTGAAAGAGATTTAAAAAAAAAATAGAAGAAATGGTAAGTGAAAAAAAAATGCTGTCCCAATATGAGACCTATTTCGTATAAGCATAATGAAGAAAGTTGATAATATAATTTGTATGAAAGTAACGGATTGCAAAAGTCAATAAGTATTGAATGTGATCCTTAGTAAGAAAAAAATTTCAGAGATCATAATGTGCGCATAAAAGCTGTACAATTTTTTGGCTGTTACATAGGAAAGGAATTCTAGTAAAAATATAACGTCTTACATATATAAGAAAAATCATATTTTTCAAATATATTCAACTACATTTAATACATTATTTTATATGGAAAATTGTTATGAAAATGTTTCCTAATGCTATATCATGAATGGCTTCGTTAGTTTGCTATTTAAGATGTATATGAAAATTACAAATTGAAAAACAAATCAGCTAAACTGAAACGACAACAATTAGAAGCTAATAGAAATCAATGATTTAAATTTCAATCAAATAACATTATGACATTCACGGTTTTAAAAATAATATGCATGCTTTTGAAGCATCTGATTTATGCCTAAACAAACCTTAGATTATTGAAATTTACTACTATAATGAAGACTATAATATAAATGTAATTAATTTCGATTTTACTAATGAAAATGCAATTAATATTTCAATATAGACATCAGATGCTGATCTCACGTTAACATTTGAAAGTTAACTGCATCCGATGACATATTGAAATATTAAATATATTCGATAATGCGTATGAAAAATAAAAAATATTTTTTGTGCAATGTTCCCTAACATTCGTGTAATGTAAGCCTTTGGATGTAGCCTTATAAGAAACTAATGTGACAACTAACATAGAGTCATATTTGCAGCTTGTCAAATTTGAAAGTAATATAAGAATTATACATTAACTTTGCACTTTTCAGAAGTATTTGTAAATTTTAAACTTTAAACAGAAGTTAATGTACATATGAAAAAGAAAGTATATCAATTACGTGCATGGTATTGTGTGCAATTTAAACGATTGGTATTACATTTTGTAAAAAATCGAAAAGGTTTTATTAGTTGAATTCTGAAAAGTGCCAAAATCGTATGTATGTGATGCTTTATCTTTCTCAAATTAAACTAGTTATTTCTGTAAATAAACAGACAATATAAGCCTTGACGATAAAAAATAAACGTTGAATTTTGCATAAAAAATATTCGGTTATAAAAAACATGTTACTGTAAACTTTAGAATAATAAATATACGTGTTCTGTGAGAGTACCATTACAATATTGAACGTACCGAATCATCTATCGCATACATGCGGTAATGAGCTAGAAAGGTCATGAATATTTAGTTGAGATTAAATAAAAATTAAAAAACGTGGGGAAGTGTCATAAGCGTCAACAAATCATTATAAATAATGCTCTTGTCCGTGTCTTTTTATGTAATTTATAACAGAAGAACAGTTTACCTACACTGACTACTTTATTAATTTTGCTTAATTAAGATACACAGGTATTACTGAAAAAAAGCACAAATTTTTGACCTCAATGTTGTAATCGGAAATACCTGTGATGTGATTTGTATTCGAATGATCTTCTGGCTTGATGATAACTTCATAGTTATTTTACAAATTATTTTTTTTTTATGTATATTCTACGTATGTATATTTCAATTACAAGTATGAAGACGGTATACGGATCATAATAACGTTATCTAAGAGTACTTGAGAACTGTGGAACAGAAGTCACTGCCGCTTGCTCTTACTTATTTGTCGATGTACCTAGCTGTGATTCTTTGCTACCAAATTTAGCAAATTATGTGTGGGTGATCAGCGATGCTCTATATTTGCACTATTGAATCAATGAAGATGAGTATTTGAATTGATTAAAAAAAATGCCAATCGTACAAGGAAATGTGACAATAAACCTACGTTCTAAACAAGAGAAAGGTCTTTTTACAACGAGGAATAAAGATATTCACTCATTAGAACGTTATCTTATCGTACCATTTACCGTTTTGTTCATGATCACCTGTTAAATCTGTTTAGTTAAGAAAGAAAAAAGACAATACTTCTTTTTATTGAAACAATGCTGTAATTGGTATTGATAAAGTTTTAAAATATGTATATCAATTAAAACAGATGTGAATTAATGTTTTAGGTATATCGGGCTTGTCGCACACGTAACGAGCACAATGCTTTATTGCAATATGTATGTATGAATAGTTACATATATGTAATACCTATGTTTAGAGCTTTTACTCTTTGTTGATATTTTTCTTGATTTCTTTGTTAATCGATGCACAGTGTATCACAATTCTCATTTCCAAATCACCCGATATTGCTTCTTAATCTTTTTCATTATTTTGCAGAACTTGTACCTATGAACGAAGGCCTAGTTAATCATTGAAGTAACAAACTATAGTGCTACGAGTTAACGTATTTGAGTACGGTTTGGTGCTATTTAGGCTTCTGTTAGTTAAAAGGAAGTGGAAAGAAGAAGTGTCCCAATACCTGCCCTGTTTGTCTATGTTTTCCACGTGCAAGGATAAGAGATTCTCAGTTAGGCTCTCCCAGAGTTCTCTTAAGATTAAAGGCCACTTGTGGATGTCTCCTCCTATAATTACTCTTAACCAAGAGAAGCCTACGTTGCACCTGAGTGTACATACCGCCCAAGTTGTGCCTTGGATGCCTTTTATATTATATGTTCATAATAATTATGAAAGTATGAGAAGTAGTTTTTACTATAATATACGATGGAACGAATGGATGGATCGTTTGCTAAATAGTCTTACTAGCAAACTGTGTAAAATCAAGTTTTTGCCTGCAATGATGAATTTGAATTATAAAGATATATTTAATGATATAATAATTTTGCAGAGGGGTATGTATATGAATGTATATAAATGAACTATCATGATTGGTGATTTGGAAAGAGACTCGTGATTAATTCTAGATGTCAGTCAGTGTAAATAAATTCTTTTAGTTGTAAAAAAAAAAAAAAAATCGAATGTACGTCTGCAGAATCCATTCCACATGTATCGTTTAGAACCGATAGCTGCGGGCTTTCTCTTATAATATTTACTTTGAGTCTGTTGAGATGTCAATATCATTGTATTATCGTTCTAAACGATGATAATGACAAGAGACACAGTTGTCTGTCGTGATGAAAAGTACGATATCGTATAATGCAAGTTTTTCCTGTGAAATTGTAAAGATTGTCAACAGAACACTTGGATCAGATACAGTGAAATATGTCCATAAGTGTATTCATCTTTTTATTCATCAAGATAATGTTTACTCGTTAGTGTTATATAAAATGATATCATAATACAATGAATGATAAAACAGCAGGTATAGATCTCTTGTAGCAGTCAATATTACGATATCGTACAACTCTGCTATCGTTGTAAGATTATGAAATTCATTAAGAAAACGACTTCGTACATGTTAGCGTATATCGTAAAGTGTATTTCTCTTTTACTCTGCCAATCTTTCGAAACGAAACTTCATTTGTGCTACTGTATCTGCATTTCTGGTAATTACTGTGTTGTGCAGCTATCAAGTATAAATAAAAAAAAAATATTTCTATCTGTGTATCTATGTGCAATGAAAATATCGTAGTTTTATTACTTTAATTATCAATTTATATAATGTCCTCGTTATTCCCAAAATTTTCATATTGATAATTAAAATTAAAACTAAATTCACGTAACACAGGTAAAATTGTAATTCAAATAGTGAATTAAATGGCGCGATTTTTATAAGAGCCTATTATAGGTTAATTTCATGCTCGAAAGTTATTGGTTTATTTACGAATATATATTTCAGGTGATTCGCTGTTTTAGTTGAAAAACATGTTTGAAAATATTCACGGACGTTCTTCGCTTGACTTTCCCTTCCTGATGTTGACACGGTAGTGTTGATAGGTGTAGAAATATGTATCGAAGAGATAAGAGATATAAAGTGAAGTGCGAGATGTTTAGAAGACACAAATAATGAAAAATGGATTCGGTAAGTTTACATCAGTCAATTGAGACTACAATGCAAATTCTGAAATGGTCGACATGTTTATTCTTGCGGACGCATTGAAGTTACATAAGGAACATTTCAAATCTCATTATAGACAAATATGTTTATCGTAGGTATGTTTATTATACGAAGAAATTTAAACATTTTGAGAATATCGAAGACACGGTATTTCCACTCATTCTCCATCTTCTATTTCCTTCTTCTGATCATCAAGCAGGATTCCCTTGCTAATTGTCTCTAGCTGGACTCGACTCTATGACAGTTGACAGCTAGATATTACAGAGATTTACTATTATCTAATTTTCGGTTCGTTTAGCTGGATGTGTTTAGGACGAGAGAATAAAATAGAGAAAGGGTAAGTTCACGATATTATTATTCAATATCATCTAATTAAAAATCATTGAAACATAGTCATAGTTGAATCTCAGCAATTTAATTAAATTTTCAAATATGCGTTGCTGATCCTAATCGTCGGCTATAGATTGTAGACAACGATAGAGCAAGCTGTTTCACGCAATGGTGGGGATAGGGCTGCGGACAGTAGATAAAAATCTCATCAGGACAGTTTGCAAGGGAATACTGTAATCGTATCCATACTAAAAGGTATACATTTTCCTTGTTCCCTCAGAATTATATCTACCCTACTTCCGGAAAGAGAAAGAGGGAGAAAGAAAGTTCGAGGAGTCAGCGAAGATTTTGCGGAATGATTTTTCGGCGGTGGCGCCTCCGTTGTCATTTCCATCTCCACGACGGCACCACCGCCACCTCGAGCACTATCTCCGTCACCGGCAATTCCACCCCCTTCTCTCCATTCCACGGGTAACGACGCCTCCGCACGGCGCCGATCAATAAACGTTGTTCTCGGCGACGCCGGCGTCGGGAGCGTCGCTGCGTGAAGGCATCCGCAAGCAATCGACGTGTCGCTACGAAAGTTGTACACGGGTGCGATCGAAAAGGAGCGTCGCGTGGGAAAAAAGTAAAAAAACGACTGGTAATGCGACCACCGCATATATTGCCGTTTTCCAGAACGAGACTTATGTCAAGGAAGTGCAACAGTATCAGCGGGAATCGGTACCAGAGATCATCGGATTGGAGCAATCTTTAGGACCCACCCACGACACGATGGCCAAGGTGAGTTCTGGTCAAAATAAAAGGATCAGTCGTTAGTTTATCGTGACGGGTTAAAGGTCATTGAAATTATATCTGTTTTATTCAGTTCAATGGTATTACAGTTGGTTCTAGGGTTCGTTATCATTTCGCGCGATGAGCGTGGGTACGTCTGTCAACAACTGTTGCTGATTCCTAAGAAACACTTAATCTTCTTTTCTTACTTCTGATTTGTTTCTACTTCTGAACGGAGGGATAGGTGATTGTACGAGGCTGACCTTTTTCTTTCACTTTTTTTTTTTTAGAAAGACCTTTCTCTCGGTTACAATTTTGAGCCGCATCGGTTATCGACTATGTGGACAAGTAGTAGCGGTCTGTCTGGGCAGAAAAAGTAGTTTGGCGCCGTCATGATCAGCCGGGCTACGACACATAGTCGACTTCCTTGCAGTACGAATAAAAGACTGCTTGTTTTCTGTAATGATAATAGCAAATTTTTGCATGATCATAGTTTTTATTATACGCTTGCCTTGTTCTGGCTATTGTAAATTACGCGGAAGTAGGATAAATACGAGCCGACTTATACGAGGCTGAAATAAATTTCTCTGAAGCTTTTCTTGTTTCTTAGACCTCTTGTTCGCCGATGAATCTTGACCGTATAAACAACTAGTATATTTGAAAGATATCGAGTCTATAAATACAAGTACTTAAGATATGCACACGTGGGACTAATGGTTTTTAATTTCGTTCAATTAAGTGTATGCAGATAGAAACTTATCGGTAGATTCAAGTATGCTCCTATATATGAACATTAGTTTGCATTAATATTCGAATATGATAATATTTGAACAATTATTCTCCGATGCATCCATTTACATTTAAGTTAGAGAAGTAATTGTTATACCGTATTTGTGTCTACACAGCCAGAATGGGATTGTGAAAAACCGCAAAGCACTTATTTACCCGCAGTCGTGTGGAAACCGTGACGATCAGATAGAAACATTTGATTCGTGTATTCAAGAAATTTCTTAGCGTTAACCCATTTACAAATGAAAGGTTCAGCGTTATCTTGATTCTAAGATATTGGTTAACGTTCGAACACCGATCGTTTCTTCTCTCCCGATCGATTTCATTAAACATCAATCACTGAACAATGCAGGGATACCTACGTGCCATGTTCGTGCGATGCATACACATTTGTAATCAGCTATGTCACGAGTTTTCGTGATCGATGAGCCGTGCATTCGTGCCTCGCACGGTCAACAAGGTGTCTCGAATTATTAAAAATATCAAGTTTGTGCGAAAATAATTCCGATTATTGTATAAAGAAAAGAGAACGCGTCCACTTGTAATGTTCGAAGTTACCAGTGTTATTATGAATTTTGCAATAACGAAAAATGCAATTATTTTTCCATCAACCTAAACGACAAACGATAGAAAGGCAAATTCGATGAGGCAAATTTACGTATTCGAGTTGTGTAACTTTACAACACTTTCACGTTCGATGCAGCACCACATTCGTAATGACGCGCATAGCCCGAATCATCAATTTCCAATCAATCGTAATCAGGTGCGTTGATCGTAACGATCATCGAGCACATTAGATACGTGGAAAGAGGAGAAACGACACGCGAACTGGTTGTAAAAGCGGACTATTTTTTTTTATATCACTGACTGACCCATTATTCGTCGGAGGTGCTTTCTTCATAAAATTTTCACCGTGTTTAACGGTCCTTCGGAGACGTGCTCGTTTATACGAACCGGTACATGTGCAAATAGACTTTTTCCATGCCGTGAAACGACTGCAAATTAGGAATTGAAATGTATTATTCGTATCGAACGGTCTCGTTGAAACGCGTTCGAACAGAAATTGCGTGAAATCCAATGATTTCATTAGACAACTGCATCTAACATTTTCGAGGAGACCTATATATATATTTATAATAGTTGGCAGGAATACGCAGTGAATTGCGGTCAACTGTATTATATTTCTGTCTAGATGAGCGAATGTCTGTAGATAATATCGGGGTGGCTGAACCGATAATAATCATCGTCGAATACTTTATACACCATTCATCGACTTTTACTATTTCTGTTTTGCGTTGAAGAATTATAACGAGTTTACTAGTACGATAGATTAACCCCTTTTTGGATTATGGGAACCCAGGGTCGGCCCTGAGATTTCGGGGGTCCGAGGCGAGCTCCGAAAAAGCGCCCCTTCACATATACGACATAAAAAAAAGAGCTCAAATAAAATTTATAAAATTAACATTAAAGCTTGTATAACTAATTTAGATTTGATTAATATTCAAGTAAACATTACTCTCGTTGCATTCTTAGACGCAAAATCGTCTTATGGGGGCCCTGTGGGAACCTCGATGGACTTGTCATTCGATAATTATTTGAAAATTAATGTTATTCTTTATTATCTTATCAAATTTTTAAACGTTACCAAGCAGATTCTCTTGCAGTTTATCAATGCGATAAAATGGTACTTAAATAGCTCCCAAGAAACCATTTATTCGGATAAGGATTTAATACCAATTAAGGATTTTAAGGCGGATGAGAAAGATAGAAGAATTGAAAGAATTCTATTGAAAAAGACAATTGCTAGTGTAAAAGTCTCTCGCATACACGCGGCATTGCATGAAAATGTACCAACTTGTCCAGTCGGCACGACGAGGCTAGGGAGAGGCCTTTCAAGGTCCTCTCGGGGATTTTTACACGGCGGGAAGTAGGAACGGATGTATATAAAGGTCGACGAGGACCGGTACGTGTAGCTATAGCACGAATTCGATCCTAAAATCGATAAACATGTCAAGACAGAAAGGTATCGTTCTTGGACGAGTTGAAACACATTCGTACCATGAAATTCTAGAACCGCGAAACTGGTGTCGTGTACGATAGTTAAAGGTTTATTTCACACGAAATTTCTACCGTGGCAACGAGTCATCGGTTTTCCACGGAAAATACCGTACCAAGTTGTATTCTCGTGTTTCCACGACAATACTCCTCTGTAACCGACGATTATGCGCACCACACGTGACTTCACTTTGCCAAGCTATTATCAGACTACGTTCTTATCGTTTGTTACGGTGCGGATAATCGTACGGTGAAAGTTGTCTCTCTTCTCTTCTTCGCCGCGTTACCATCTTTAACGCGCGAGTTTCTAAGTTACGCACGTAAGAGGAACTGAAAATCTATTACATTCTTTCAATCTGTTTTCTAATATACATACATATGTTTTTCCACTTTCTACGTACTCACTCTACCGACGAATCGTTATAGAATTCATTTTGCTATGTGAAAGAAAACGGTTCTATTTGAGGACGTGTGTAACTATGAGAAAACCGAGTGAACCTCGTAACGTGGCACAACCTTGTTCTTCGGTTGATGACGTTTACCGAGAAGCTACTTTACACGTTTAACAATGTACGGCTTATGTTTGTCGCATATGTTCTCTTTTACTTAATTTCAAGGTGAGAATGAATTTTGTACGCAGCTGCGATTTAGGAGGACATCGGTGAATCTCACCTGAGTAAACTGCGACGCATATAGGGTGCTCCGAGAGGGGTAGTATTAAGGGTAAGATTGCGATTCAATCAGCAGTTCACTGAGCAACATTTTTTTTCTTTTTCCCATCGCTAGGTACGACTCGGATCACCCCATGGAACACTTTCAACCCTTCGTCCGGATTCCAGCACCCATACCGACACCCTGTATCTTTTCAACACCCTGTACAGTCTTCGAGTATGCTGGTACCGCGTTGGTTATACGGATTCACGGACCGGTGAATGCAGAAACCGTGTGTTTCTGAAGAATAGTAATCGTTGTTGCGGTGTGTTTGTTGTCAGTCCGTACCGCTCGCGCGGTGAAGGTGTATAATACGAGGACGACGCACGCGTGTAAACGTGTACGTCTGTCTGTCTGTCTTCGGTTCTATCGTTGTGTCAGTATGTGGATACTCGGTGGTGGCATAGGTAGTACCAGGGGATCACCGAGCGAATCCGGAACGTTGTTTCATTGTCGTACACGCGGCGGACTCGTCGCGATCGTGTTGCTCGTTATCGATTCGCTGCCTCCGAGTTTCCCGGTTGGCAAACTTTCCCGCGTTACCGTACCGAGGGAAATTTCGAGTTCCTAGTACGGGGGTTTTTTTTTTTTTTTTTTTTTTTCAAGCGAGAGAAAAGGTTTCGTTGTCATTGTTCGAGATGTGATCGAGATCGCAAATGCGTCGTAGGTACGAATTACTGGAACGGGGTGAATCCTCTTCGTCCAGTTGTGACTCAGTACGCGAAAAGTTGGCTTTATTAATAGTCCTGTGACTATTACCGACTAAGAGAGCGTGTTTTTGCTCGACCAGGGAAAGTGACTTGGAATCGGATCGAATATGAGGAGCGCGAGAGAGGCGCGAAGAGGAAAACGCATCGATCGGCACCGATCGTGAGTTCAACTCGTCTATAGCGTGTTGCGATGAAAATATTAACACGTTCAACGTCATGGGAATCACCGATGATCGGCGAAATATAAAAAGAAATGATGGGTGTCTCAAATCGAATAATTAGTAAAAGGAAAGAAAAGACAAACTTCGAATAGAATTAATATTAATCTAATAATGTAGCGTATAAAATTGAAAGTTTAAATTTGAAAGTTAATTGATCTTATCCTTAATAATGGATATTTTAAAGTACGTAGCCAGTGTTCCAGTCAACGCGTTATTTTCATTGTAACACGCTGTGTATAAACTTCGCGTGATCTCTATGCACGTTCTCGCTTTTCTTCGTGTATATATTATTCGTTAAAAAGCGACGTCGAACGAAAGCCAGTCAATTTCGTAGTTGCATTAATTTTGCGCGTCGAATTCGTTGATCCGAAGATCGCGGTTACGCAACCGAGGATGCGCTGCTTGTTAGTCGATGTAACGACCATGTATATACGTTCATATTTCGATCATCGTTTTGCTTTTACCACGGTTCTATCGTGGCAAAGAAGCGTGCGTACGTGCGTAAATATTGTTCCGTTAAGAAGAATCTTTTCCGCGTTCGATATCCGTCGATCCGTTCCTTCTTAATCTTATCAAAACGGGGTGTTACGCGTGCTTGGAATAACTATCCGAGGAGAGCACGTTGATGTCCTCGCAGGTGCGATAATTAATTCCATTCAAATTACGACTAGCTTTGAAATTATGCATCTGGTTACACGGGATCACAACACCGGGTCACGTGTGTTCTTGTCACTTACGTAGTCGCGCGCGATGGATCGACGTTGCCAAATGCAATTTTACTGGTGAAATTATACAAAACCGCGAGTTCTTTTTCTTTTTTTTGAAGTTAAGTGATGACATCCAGTGAAGCAGAACAACGAACCAAAGCGACGATGTAAATGCGTTGTAATTTATTACTCTAAACGGTGCCGCCTTTTAGAAAGTCTTTCAGCTTTTAGAAAGCGTTTCAAGTATTTTTCATCCCGATGCCGATTTCGCTGATCGAAAGGAATGACATTTACTCGTCGATATAATTTCAGAATTTCGAATCGAAGAACAATCTGGTGTAATCGGCTCGTACGAGCGTCTCGCTGTATCTTCGATTCTCCATTCGTTTCAATAGTACCTATTGTTTCAGTATAACTGAGATTCAATGATTCGTCGTGATTACCGTTAGATTAGAAAAATCGAAACGAATGTGCTCCTAATTAACACAGTTGCTTCGCCTGGCGTGGCAAACAGATAACAAGCGACCCGGGTAGGCGGCTCGAATTGGCACGAATTAAAGTCTAATGGAATAAAGTTATACTGCCGGTCTGGCCTTTGCCCGTCATTGGCTTGATCCGTGCACACATTTAGATAAATACAGAGACGCACACACGCGTGCGTGTTGATTTTGATTCTTGCCACGTTTTCTTGTCGGCATCGTCGCAAAGTCGATACGATATTTAAACATATTGTTCCTCTTGTCGATATCGCTTCGCTCGTTCGTCCGATGACCGTGACATTTTCCTAGATCGATAACGAACATGTCACGAATATCGATTTAGAACCACTATGCGGGTTATATAGGGTGGTCCAGACGGTTCTTGCAAGTCATTGTTAATAATAGACTATTCTAAGAATCGTATCAAATTGAATGTTCTGAAAGACTTGAAAAATCTTCAATTCCATGTATATGTACCACTCTGTAGATATACTCGAGGCTGGTGAAAAAATGAGCACATACGTCATCGTTGCATTCGTAACAAGATAATGCATCGTTCGTGAATAATTTATTATTTTCGCGTAAAGTTTGCCGGACGAAATATTGGTATCCGGTTTTGATGCGATCGTGTGTACAGAGTCTAGAAGAAAAGATAAAGTTTCGTCGGAGATTTGCGCGTAGGGTTCACCAGGTTGACGAGTAGCGGTTCGTAGTAAAACTCGCGCGCGATGTAACCCAGTTCTCAGTCACGACGTCGTTCAACAGGGTCGTCGGTGAACGCACTCTATTACTCTGGCAGCCGGTTCCTTGCCTTTGAACAGGCCATCGGTAACACTATTATTAGCGGCACGGTGAAATGCAGCGTTTTCCTTCTGGACTTGATTACGGATTGAAAACAGTACAATCTTACCGATGTCTTTTATCGGGAGATCCTCGAGCAAATACTCGAAATTCTTGACAATACAAAGTCCGACCTATGCTTAACGTATTGTTTATAGGTACACGTCGTTAACTAAACTATGCGACCGATAAGATTAATCTATCGGTTGAATCAGTTTGACGGATTATAAGAGTACGCAATTACACGTATTCTTGCGCGATAGGAAAGAAGTAAAGAACAGAGGAGGCGATGGATAAAGGTAGCTACGAGAAGTAACGTGGACCAGGGTTAAAATTAAATTAGCCAACTGCCAGAGAGACACTTCTGATTCACCTCGGGGACGAAGGGTTTTATTTGGAGATGGGCCAAGGGCAACGGACTCTTCGTGTCGTTCTTCGGGTCAAACGTTTTGGTCGACCTTGAAAAATCATTTAGCTTCATTTTTTTTTTAATTTACAATTCGAATAATAAACGTTGAAACGTACAGGAGATTCTGTTGTACGTAGTGATGGATATTGGAGACTCTTGAAAGATTAGTGATTTTTAAAAATGATTCCAGAAGTTAAGGGATGCTTGAAAGCTTATACGAAGTTTCAAATAGCCATCACTATTACAACACGAGGCTGTGTTGTACGTCATTGCCAAGAAGTCTGTTTCCATCGGATTTAATTCGATTGCTACAATGCGATTAAGCATGTCTATATTCAGTTAGTTGGAGCTTCAGGGTATGGAACGTTTCAACTAATTAACGGATAAATGGAGGAATTTGTAACCATCTACTTGGAATGTGCGTCTTTCGAGCAGCTAAACGAATGTGTGAAATAGTTTATGATTAGTCAACGCGTGCAAGGGTATCTATCATTTTCTGTAATCTGATTGCAGAACGTAGGGGAGAGTCGGATACCAGTACCACGCGCGGCTCGACCGTCTTTCTTTCCGAAGTCAAGGGTACTTGGTACACCGACCCTTGTACCTGGACATCGACGTTCCCTGATACTGTCAGGATGTTTGCAGTTTGTTGATACCGAGGACGAGTCCAACACTCCAAAAACAAAGTGTGGAACGCGTTCCGTATCTACACCGTCCATCGAAGGTAATTATTCTGAATGTTAACACCAGAAATATGTATGTAAAGAAGACAATTAACAATGATATTTTCAATTAGTAGATTCGGGGCATAAGAAGTTTACGATATCACCCGTGTGGGATATTGACAAAGATGACGTGCAACAGTTGGTTCATTTCCCCGAGGAGAAGAGTAACTTTTTCAGGTATATATATGTAACTTTTGTATCGTCCGATTGTTTCACACACGGTGAGATAAAGTCGAGTAGACTCTCTGCGAAACGTGTCTTCAACCATTGCTGTTTACAGTTTGCTCGAGAATTCTCAGTTAAATATGATCGAGGATACTGGTGAGAGCTGCCTGCTGGACACAACCCTGAACAATTACAATGATAGCGCAGCTAACGCAACTCCGCATTATTTGATGTTAAACAAACAGAATTCGTTCGAACACGACGAAAGTCTCGGTATATTGACCCCCGACCAGATGACCGACTTCACGGTTGCGTTAGAGTGCTCCAGGACACCATCCTGTGAAAATCTTACGGGATCGGCTGGTTCTAGACTGGCGTTAACGCGAGCATCGGCGTCTAGGCCATCGGTCGACATTGAACCGACGGAGGAGGCCTCGAGCGAAAGGACGCCGTCTCCCGAAGAACTTCCGCTGGATCCTAAGCCCACCGAACCCGTCAGAGGCGGCACCGTTCCTATCAGTTTCGTCACATCGGTGACGAGTATCACCAGTTTGGAAGCCGGTTATCAAGGTGACGGTGAAAATTCGAGGCCAGCGAGTCGCGGAGCCGATCCACCGTCCGTCGCACCAGCACCGAATCTGCCGGCACCTTGCAGACAAGATCCGATGACGGACTCGGATTTTTTTACGGAAAGCGATGCCGACGCGTACGAGGAAATCGTACGCGGTGATAGGAAAGCTCAGGTAATCGATGGTACTCTTTTCTGCGCGCCCGGTGGTCGAAGATGTCCGAGTTTTACCGGAGAAGAGATGGATTCAAGTGGTATTTACTCGGATCTCGATAAGAGACAGGACGAGCTTCATGCACCTGAAGAAGCACCGGAAGAGAACGAGGATCGCACACCGGACACCATCGATACAGAGGTATCGCAGAGAAGTCAACCAACGCCTATTAAACCGGATGTTATTATGGATTACCTAGAGGCGAGTTGATAAGCTTAGTTATTCGTAGCGATTAGGATCAACTTGTAAATCCGCTATTAATCCTAAGTAGACTACGGATGTCAGTAATAAAGTAATCTGGATATTTCTTTTACTTTAAGGATCAAAATAGTAAAGGATCTTCTCCCGGTCGTTATCCTTCTCATTTAGATTTCTGCAAATAGCAGTAGGAGATGTTTGATTAGCTATTCGTATTACTGTGATTGCGTAGATCAATTGAAACAGCTCCTGTGTACTTGATCCTCTTTAGGCTCCTGTGACAACTTTGGAGGGATCGCCTGATTCTAATGGATCCATGAACCCACCCGAGGTTACGGTGATCGAGGTGGAACGGAACAACGACAACGTTAGATCGAAGACACAGAACAAAACTGATTCGGTTCCTTTGAAGAAATACAAGATGCCTAAGAGGAACGTCGTCTCGAAGATCAAGGCAATGATCGAGTCTGGTCCGAAGGACGAAACGGAGAAAGAAGCGAGACGTTCGCAAAGGACGTCCAGAAAAGGTGGACGTTGGGATGCTGTTATGAGTAAGATCGAAGCTGGTAAGAACGAACAGAGGACTAGATGCGTGAGGAAAGAGGTGAAGTCGCGGGTGCTACAGAGCCTTACCCAACCATCGTCCACGGGATCAACTCAAAAGAAAGTTGGCGACGCGAATAACAATAACAATAAGGATAAAAGGTGAGACATTGATATTTTTGGTTGAACGTTTTCATTCGTGTAGCGTTGCTAAGAAGTTTCTAATTATCAGGCGATTACGTGGCCGTCAAGAAACAAAATCGCCAACTCAAGAAACTGCCAGGAGCTCCGTTCGTAGCTCTTTGAGTGATCTCAGCACCGGACCTAGCAAAGACGCGTCAAGTAAGTTGCATTAACATCTGTCTTTGCATCGTCGCAAATTAAATTAAAATCCGCTGTTAACAATGCTTCTATTCTTGGCGAAATCTACGTAACATACTCTAATTTAATATTGATCATAAAAATGTGGGCCATTAAGGGTTGATGCGAGAGATCGAATAGAGAGATAGATCGTGGAATGATGATAGTATAAACCAGGAATGGAAGACCTTGCGATGAACAGTGGAGCTTGAATAAACACGATGCCAACCGATTTTGCGATATCGAATTATATTTGACCGCATACCATGCGTCTTACTAAAAAAAAGTGAAAACCACAAAGGCCGAGAAATAGAGTAGATACGAATGGTATTAAGAACCGTTTAAATTGCTTTTTTTCTTTCATTTTGTTATAAGAAATGCAGGCTGAAGCTAGGAACAAGTTTTTGTTTTAAAAGACGTCAGTGCGCATTTGCAAAAAAGCGCATGCTCTTGCAATCCCGTATGTGGTACTCCACTGGGAGGTATTGATAATACCGACTGACCTCCAATAACACTCGAATGCTAACCAGTATTGAATAAATTTTTATTCGAATAATGAATAAAATCAATTTATTCATTATTCGAAATAACTTCTGCTCCTTTCTTAGTGCTGTCGCAATTTAGTCAAAAAAAGCGACAGTATAAAAACTTGTAAATTGTCTTTGAAAATGTTAAATCTTAATCAAATAACAAAAAAGCTATTTTGCGTTTCATCAACTTCGCGTGTAGTACAAAAAAAAAAAAAAAATAAAGAAAGAAATAGAAATATTTCCAAACACCGTTTCATAGGCTCTGTTTTCAGAGATATAAAATTTTACCCTTGAAGTTTGAATTACGACAGATTAATTTTGGTATTCGAGTAAACATGTGTCTCCTTTACGTCGCCAAAACGTTTCGGGACGGAATATTTTTACGTAGGTGGTTCTCTTTCGTAGAAGAGGGTGGGGATGATCGTAAATATGGGCGTAGGAGGGTGTTTTGTATCGACCCGCAGCTAGGGAGCCGGGAAACTTAGATAGGAAAAGGAAGGAGGGCGCCGGTGCCCCTCTTCCGGCGCCACTGGACAGTTTCGTTTCCATTGGATCGGGGGAGCCGTAGCCGTAGCAGCAGCAGCAGCATCCAGTCGGCAGTCCTCGGCGGACCTCGTGCTCGCTCGGACGCTGTTTATGCACGCGTGTTGCATATCCGTTCTTCCTTCCCCTCTGATTTGGTTTCTTCTTCTCTCCCTTTCTCACGGTCTCTTACTCTCTACCCCCATTCGGGTCAGCAATTTTATCCGAAGGGAATACGTGTGCGCGACAAAAAGAAGTACAGGAGCCGAGTAAAGAGCGAACAGCCGGTGCATCGGTCGTCAGTGAATGCCGCAAGGTGACGGTGCAAAGTGCATCGAAACTGTGTGACCGTAGAACCTTTCGGGTATATCACCGACGTTCGTATTTCTCCGTGTTTTTTCGTATCACCTCGTATTATATCTTCGATTCCCTTTGATACAACACCCAGTACCGTGTCAACCGCATCCGATAGCGCACTCGACGTGACCTGATTTTCAAATTGTGTCACACAGAGCCTTAGCTTTTTGCTCGATACCGAGGAACGATCGAAGAGAAGCTGTTTCTCTACTTAGCAACCCCATGCGATATATACGCCTTACATATGTTATCGCACGTTCGCTTCGATCGGCAAAGGAATCTGAACCGCAAGGACTGAATGCTACAAGACTGGATTTTACCGTCCCCTCTCTTCGAGATAACTCGAATGAAAGTTTCCCAAGATACCGTTACGGAAGGAATCTTTGGATACGCTACTGTGTTCCCTTCGAACACGTTTAGCCTGATCAAAGAATAGAGGTGATCGTAGATGCGATCAAACTTGGTCTAAACTCTTGTTCGTGTACATTAGGCAGCTCTTGACGACGTAGCTTACGGGTCAACGGCACTAGTGGTTTATTTCCGGCATTGCCTTTCTTCATTGGCCACCTTATACTGTACGTACGTACACGTCCTTCGACTCGACACGGCTCCAACGACGGTGTCTCTACCCGAGTCCCCACCCCATTTAGACAGGTGCACCCGGCGACCACGTGCGTTCCCAAGGCCGACGACCACCGGTACGCACCCGGTTTCATCTACCACTTACGCAATCGCCATATCCGAGTCAGATGTTAAACCCACATGGCCGAAGACATGGTCGAGGATCGAGGTGCCGGTGAAAGACACCCGTCGCGCTTCTGGATTATTCAGGTCGTGGAAAGAACGACCGACAACCTGTCGTCGTGCTTGTCGATCGAAAGACACACGTCCGATTAAATCTCGCCTCGAATTATACCCGACAGGGACACGAAAGTCACCGTCCCAGGTGAACGGAACACCACGCACTCCCCTAGTGTATATTAATTCGTGAGAACTGGAGGACGGTACGATTACCAAGGGGGAAGAATATTCGACGAAGATGCTGGATTATGGTCACGAATTTGTACCATGCATGTGTACTATAACCACGGAGTTCGCCTGGATGGTAAACATGGACGTGGGCTGCGAAGAGACGACGAGGTGAAGATGCAGGTTACGTGACCGGAAATTTTCGAGGAATTTTATTGGGGATGGATCGTCGGTGAAAGGAAACTTTCAAAATGGGGCAGCAAGGATCGAAGGGTAGACCGCCTCTGCGGACGGATTTCGTCAGAGATTCGGCGAAAATGCGGCTGGGCAGTTTCAAGAGAGGTATAGTCGTACAATAGAGAAGGGACAATCTTTGTTTTGAACCTGAGAACGTTTTTTCCCGCGCGATCATACCGGAGAAAGATGTATTATCCCATAAACCTCTCCTCGTTAATCCTTTAATCTCGTCTCTCACAGAAAAAAGAAGAAGAATGTCCGTAGCTATCTATCTATCTTTTTCTTCTTGGTTCATTTAACGCTAGAAAGTTCCATCGACGCGAATAGGAGCAAATGGCCGTTTGCACGGGCATTCGAAAAGGTAGATGGGTCGAACGGTTTCTCCTATGGCGAGCTTAAAACGTTATGGAGGAGGATCAAAGGTACCCTACTTACACGTCGTTGGGGATTTCTCTTTTATCTTGATCACCGATCATTGTTATTCGAGGAATCTCACAGGGAATTGTTAGCCAACCCGTGTCTAAAATTGAAAATTTTGAAAAGGGGCTATAGCATTTAAAAATTCTGTCACTTTTGTACTGGCCAAATGGTAAAAGTTATTGTGTTTAGAGGGTCATAATTTCAACGAATGGCCGAAAAAAACTTTTTTTTCGCCACTTCTGGTCTGATCGGAAATGGGCGAAAAAGGGTTGGCTCTAGAGCGAATCTCCCTCTAGTTCACTTTAGCTTGTTTGCTCTGTTACATCGGGATTGCTTCTGCGATAGACGAATTTATCTTACGAGATAAATTAAGCTGGCCGACTTTGATACAATTTAGATACAACGTAGAACTGAAAAATATAAAATTGAAAGTTACAAACTTCCAACTTTCACGCCTTAGCGTGGCGCAAGAACCGGAGGTTTTCTAACTTAATTACACTAATGAATGATCAGGGTAATTGAAATAGAAAGATTGTTCAATGTAATTGATAATTACCGGTTTAATTAAAACGTACACAGTGAAATGTGTTACTTAACGATTATCGATTATCGCTTATGCATGTCCTGAATATTTGCCCGGCTAGTTTCTTCAACGTGCAAGATTAATTCAAAGTATTATGCACACGGACCCGTGTCAGGCCGTTATGTGCTCAAGCTCTCGTAGGCAACGGGCTACGGTGCAGCCTGGTGTACATAATAAACGTTTTCTTTTCCTCGTTGGTTTAATCGACGAGCACGGTTCAAACTTAGCTCTTCGTGCGCTACGTTCCCGCTATAGACGATATATATCGTCTCGTCAAGCTCGAATTCCGATGATGCGCGAAATGTTATTAAAGTAACTACGACTTATGAGGGAAGCGAAATTCCACGGTCAATGAACTATCTAATAATCTTATATTGTACATTATGGAAGCTATACTTATTTTCTTTCCAATTTGTGTCCGCGATGATAATGACCGATTATTCATTTTATTATGTTTTTCAGAGAGATCACCAACATCGGTAAATCCACCAAGAAGACTGGTAGCAAACGGTCGTGGTAGTCAACAGAGCCGTGTCAATAGTTTCGACAAGAAAAACTGCGTAGAAATTTCGCCCATCAATCTCGGTGAGTTCGAGGGCCCGGTTCCTGTGCACCCTAAAATTATGTGACACCAGAATTGCACGTACGACGTGGTCGAACACACATGCGTTTATGTATATATATATATATAAATATGTCTGCTGATTGAACGGAGGAAACGAAAGGTCGAGGGCACCACTGCGTACTTCCGGCCGGAGGCCTATTGCGACGAAGAGAACGCTTTTTCTTTGAACGCCTTCCTTTATGCAACAGTATGCGCTCTCGTACATTAATCATCAAGCATATACGCATTAGGCGATTTGTATCAATGATTAATCATTAAGAGGTATCTACTTTTGGTAACAAATAGCATGGATTAATATGTCTTCATTAGCTATTGGGTACTAATTATATCAATGAATGAACGTATTTTTCATTTTAGTTTATGTTTCTATGACAATGTTCATTAAGATATTATTCTCATTTGGAGAACCGAAATTTGTATGCAATTATCTCCAAATGAAAATGTCATTTAAATCTAATCTTCAAAGATTAATTTATAGTTCATTACCGTGCGTTTCTTGTATAAAATAAATGAACTTTTATCGTTCATGCTACGTGACTCTGTAGAAAAATTGCATTCAAATTTATGGAACTAATATCTTAATGTTATTACGCTAATTAACCGTGGATTATACTAGTGCCTTTATTTATGGCCACGGTCAGAATTGTAACGGTACGCATCCCTTATTGTCGCCGACTCCACGGTTTAAAACCCCCGACGGTATTCCTAATTCGTTGTTCCTTCTTCAAATTTAAACGGGCAAAAGGACGGCGTGCCACTCAGTCTGGCAGATGGTCGGGTGTCGTGCACATCGCACGAAATATTCCTCTCCGGAGTACGTGATTTGTGAATTGCTTGCATACGGCACAGTTTCGTGATCGGCATACCATCGTCTTGCCTTTTACGAATGTGGTATGCGAACGCAAACAGCGATCGCGATAAGGAAATAGTTGGTTTTGAAGAATCAGTGATAAGGGCAGTGTATAGTTTGGCCATTGTTACCATGGTCGTCTCGTACTACCGTAAATATTATTTCAATTACATTTCGCTTCGATACTTCGTCTTTTCGATACTTCACTAATTAACAGACCGTTCTAAAATGTTCTTTGTTAATTTTTTCTTTTTCTTTTAAATATCGTATACGTGTAACGTTAAATTTTCACGCGAGGAATTATGTGTTTCCCCGGTACGCTTTGTACATGTTTTATCTTGCGCGGACGTAGAACGGTTCACACCGTACGGTACTTGCAAACTCGATAATACATCATTTAAGGCACTGCCGGCTAGTGTGTAACATGCTCTCGTTAACGCAGCGAATTCTGTTTCCAGAGAAGAGTCCGTCAGCGACGCGAAAGCCGACAATAACCAGGAGATTAACAACCACTGTCCCGGCGAAGCAGCATAGTATAACGACATCGACGAAAGGTACATCAACAGTTTCATTTTTTTCCACATCTTTAAGCAATTAACCGACTGATCTTCCTTTCACCGTACTAATAATCCTACCTAATTTTAACCAGATACACGTTGGAACACGAGATCCTTCTGCAGAGTCGTTTAACGAATGGAGACACAAACGCGTGTAGTTTTGAAAGTGTAAGGTGTAATTATACACTTGTCTCCGTACCGCCTAGTGCTTTTGGAAGTATCTTGAGTAGTTTTTCGACTACGGCTAAGTTTGCCTCTTTAATTATTGAACGACCCTACTAGACAGTTTCGAGTAGCATACCTGCGCTGTGAGAGGTTTATCGAAGCTGTGTAGCAAGAAGAAGCGTTTTACCTCCCAGCCGGTGCCGGCAGAAAAGATAATACCACGAGGAAACATCTTGCTTTCTAATTCATTGACCGCGCGCTACTCCGACGGTAGCTAGTTTCTAAAAAAGTCCCACGGTTATTTTGCGGTGCGTACAGTACGTACAACCGTTTCTCCGCATGCACGAGGACGCACACGTGCGTATCCCTCCGTGTTGTTACTTGTCGTTTCGAAGAAAGTCGTAGCTTTCACTGGGTCCTCGGGATTAAACCCTGGATTCTTTCTGTCTCCGAGGGGACAATTGTCGGTCGAAAAACCCGCGGGCTAATCGTAAACGAGCATCGTAAAATGAATTTTGGATAAGAAGTGAAAGTAATTCTTTGACTGGTAATTTTTTTTCTCGGGATAGTTTGCAAAAATTTGTATTTTTTTTTTTACTTTCAAGATGAATCGTAAGATAAGAAACGACATTAGTTATGACCTGATATGTGGAACAAATTACTGAAGTGAAGATTATTATCAATGATCGTTTACGTCCTAGAAAACACTAACCACGGGATGAGTTTCTACGAGTCACGGTCTTGTACTTCCTCTCATTTTAATTTATTGTTTTATTAATCATTCATGAAGCGACTCGTGGCAAGATACATTGGCAGTGAAGCAAATTGGGGGAGTATAGTCACTTAAAATTTCAACAAACTGTTTTGCTGATTTATGTCTTCTTCTTGAACATACGTACAGTGTCTTCTTCGTTGATACTCTTTGAACGAAACGTGTAAATAATTTGGAAAGCTAATGGAAATATTTCGAATATGCCAGAGCAATGATTAATTCTAATATATCATTAAGTGCGTTCACGTTACACTGTGACGAAACAGATATCGATGAGCGGAATTAACAATTGTTTGCAAAGCTTCTAGCGGAAGAGCGTTATCCGATCGTCGATCATTCGGACCATTATCTTCAAATGATACTTGTGAACACGTACAATCGTTTCGTACAAATACGGTTATCCTCAGCCATTTAAGGGTAGCTAATTCCAAATAAGAAGACGAATTCATTCGAGGCACGGTTCTTGATGAACAAAATCCGCCACTGTTCGCATACATTAATTTTCTCGTGGAACAGCCTTTGTAATGAGTTTCTTCGTTTCGTGGAAATTTCATTCGAACGTGTTTCTCGCGCGAAACCGAGAAAGATATTCGTAGAAATTATGGAAACGTATGCAGACATTGTGGGTCATATTCAAGTCGTGTGTATCAAGCGCGCGGAGCGTGTGTCCGGCCAGACACCGCTTTCCGCGTGTCCATCGTCTTCGTATTCTTCGAGGTTGCACCTCATTTCAAGGTGGTGGTAGGAGTGGTCGACAAGAACGAAGGAGGGATATATCGCTCCGCGAGGCAGCCTGTGGCTCGTGCTAATTCAGTCGAAGTGCGGACTTGGCCAGCAAATCGTTATAAATGACGATCCCGATTAGATCCTCTTGATGTATCTTACACGATTATTATTCTTATCGAACGAACATTGTTTCCAACCGCGACCGTCTTCGTATATGTTTAGACCCGGCTAAATAATTCCTGTGAACCGAATACAACACCTATTGTCTGGTCGTGTTACATATATATACGTTAACAATTTATTCGATCAAACTGCAACAATATTATAACATAATCGAAGAAAATTTCTTAATTAGAAGGAACACTTATCGTGTGATCATGTAAATGTTAAATAGTGTTTGCAATAGAGGAATCGATAGTGTAATCAAAGAAATGTTAGATCAAATATAGAGGAGGATCTATGTATAAACAAGAGCGGAAACGATAAACATTTGATATTGCGTAGTATCGTGCCGAAAATAATCCGGATTCAATAGGTGGACTCGGATGAAATAGGCAATTTTAACGTTCTAATGAAGAATATAGCGATACATGATCAAGAGGTGTCAATTAACTTTTTGGAGTTTCCAAATACCCGGCACAGTTGTACAAGAGTTGACCTTAACCCAGTGGTGTCTTCATTGACTGGGCCGTGCTCTTGAGCGTATTTGGCTTGGCTGTAGAAATAAAATCGATCGATTTACTGCCGGCACACATCGTCTTTTTTTTTTTCTTTTTAGCCACTGATCCTTTGCTGAGAAGGATCAGGTAGTGGGTGGCGAGGGTTCGCAGACGTGTCCCGCGTGCTTTCACGTACATCAGCAATAATGGGAGGATGAACCTCGTATGACGTAGTCAGACCAAATCGTCGTCGTTACGATTTAATGACCCACGTACGTGAATTTCCCTCGTGTCACCATGATAATTGCGTTTTCTCTGTGAGAAACACCTCCCCCTGCGTCCGTGCGGGGAGGTCGGTTCATCGCATCCGGTGAACTGAAGGATCCTGACAAACAGGTAGCTCGACTTTCCAGAGACTGGAATAAACGGTTTTCTCTCTTGGAACGAGTTTTCCGTACGACTTTCTTCGGATACACCTAAATCTAGCCGTATAAAATGACTAGAAGGTGGTAGTCAATTTCACGATGGTGCCGAGAATGATGCACGTAGTCGTGTCTTTGCGATGATCGTTGAATTTTGAACAATAATGATCAGGTCGATCGAAGTTCCAATTTATCTCGATAACAACGGAGTTACTTAACGACAAGGGAGGCGAAGAGAAGGAGGATGAATCGTGTAACTAATTTATTGGAATAAATGTATCCGAATTTAAATGAGCCTAATTCATTGACTGAGGACTGAGTCGAATTTTTTATTTATACGATCGAAGAATCACAATGGTGATGGGACCGGTGACATTGGTTGCAGATCGCGATACCAAGGAACAACACGGTAATAACTATGTGGTGACAAGGGCGTCTTTGGAGACGCGAGACCAGGCCGCACAAACCGACATACATTACGATGCGATTCAAGTTAAAAGGGCGGAACAAATAATAGAAGCCCTTTCTATCACCGTACAGTATTTGGCCTACGAGGTACGTTTTTCATTTTTCTGCAAATTTGAATATTTTTATAAATTTTCAATCTTTACACGTTTGTTGTTTCGTGCGTAGTTGGACGCTTTTTCTACTCCAAAGCTAAAAAAAGATTGCGAGAACATGAAGAAAGAATGGATGTCGAGGTGTACGGAGATCGAAGAGTTGAGAACTAGAAACCTCGGCATTGAAGAGAGACTCGAGTCAGAGAGGGAGAATCATCGGAGAGCCTTGGACCAGCTTCGTGAAGATCGTAAGCCTTGCCAAGAATTATTTATGTTTCTTTTCGTTTCCTGGCTGGTTACGGTGAAAACTCACAGTGACGTAACTTACGATATTACGGTATATAAGTACAGTTTTTCAAATTCTAACATTGAATCTTCATATCACATATATTTGAATTACAATTTTTCCCTTTATAAATTCAGTTTTGTTCTTCTACTATATTTTATCTTTCTGTTCTTAACTTGAATATTATATTTTACGTTATGTACGTTCTGTGCCTGGTACGACCTATCATATGATAATAATATTCACTCGTTTAACAAGCATAATGCTCCCGATGTCGTGGCGAATAGTGGAAGCATATAAAGTGGAGCAATTGTTAATTAAAATACGCGAGGAGGCTGGTGTGCCTACGCACACCTACCCCGTCTTTAGCAGCGAACAATTTAGAGGTAAAATTTTCAAATGCGGACACACAACTTGCTCGAACTTCACAAACGCTCAATTTAGTGGCCACGTAACGTTCATCGAAGTTAATTATAGGTTTGGCACGTTCGTCGAACTTAATCCCGTTCTCTCGGTCTGTCTGACTTTGTTTTTTCTTCCATTTTTCAATCTATCCGAATGACGTCAATCACAATGCTGAAGGGAACAAATTTTTTTTTCTTCTCAGTAGAGACACATTATGCGGTGCAAATCGCGACATTGGAAGCAGCCCTGCAAGAGGAGAGGCGCAGATACGAGGTCAGGCTACGCGATTCCTTGAACGAGGCTGCGAAAGAGCAACGGGCCACGATTGCAAAATTACGGTCCGAGCAAGAGGCTGAATTGTTGCGAAGAGAGGCGGAATTCAAGAGAAGATCGGTCGTTCACGATCAAGGGGCCGCGCTCACGGCGGAAGTGGAATCATTGAGATCGGTGCTAGAGATCAGAAGCCAGGAGAACGCTGCGTTGAGATCGGATCTCGATAATATTAGGCGAGAAATCGAGGACAAAGAGGCTTTGCAACAGCGAGTGGACACGCTCGAAGCGAGATGCGAGGATCTGAAGGCACAGCTTCAGTGCAAAGAGGCACTTGAGAGGCAAATGTCTCACAACAACGAGGTACTACATGAATCGTTTCATCAAATCTCGAAGCAGAACAAACGGTTAGCGCAACGCAACGAGGAGCTTCAATGGAGGTTGCGTCAAAAAAACGAGGTGGTGACCGTTCTTGCGAATTTGACGCCTAGGCTTAGCCGTTCATTAGGCCCGGAACACGTCGAACATTCTCTCTCACCCGACAAGAACGGTCCGCAATCTTCTTCTGTTAAATTTATGGTAGAGAAAGGCGATTCGGTCTCATGGACGTTGGAAATCGATGATGAATTTTCCAAGGGATCGTCGGACGCCGCGCCATTGGCAACGCCGCCTAAAATGGGCAGATCAGATTCAACGTCAACGGTATCGAGGCAAGGATCGCTTCGATTGACACCTAGAAGGCCTTCCGTCGATATGAGGGCAAGGTCTAAAAGTATTTCCGTTACGGATTCCGCGCGTGTAGAGGAATCTACTTGGTCTCCTTCGTTTAATTCAACACCGATCGCTCGTCGAAGACCTAGAAGTGACCCGTCTTCTTCTTCTTCCTCTTCCTCCACATCTTCGTCGTCCTCATCTTCTGCAACAGCGGTTACCACGAATTCTGCCGTTGCTGTTGCCGTCGCTGCTGCCGCCGCCGCCGCTGCCGCTGCCGAAGATTGCGGCGCAGGTCAAAGACCTCAGGAAGCTGGCGGTGAAGCTATGATATCGGAGGAAGCTTCCGCCACGAGCAGCGAGGACGAATCATCCACCAGTAGCGATATTCCTCCGTTGCCGATACAATTTCCCTGGGGTAAACCGATCAAGTAACGTTCTCGCGATCCTCTCGCTTACCACATTTATAAGGATTTCAATTTTCGAACGGCTGCTATGTTCGTTTGATCGGGACACAAAGTTTGTTCGGTAATTCCCATGACTTTACGTGGTAATTACGCCAACCAATTTCCAAGGATAACGATATCATTTTTACAAAACATAAAAATGAACGTTCTCGCTGTTCTTTAAAACGTTGTACGCGCACTTTTTCTATTACTTCGGTACCTGTAACTCATACGTTTTGATCGTGAAGAGACATATGTGAGTAGCGTAGCTTTCTACCAAAACTTATACATACGTTTTTCGAGACTGTTTGCGTCATACTTTGCGTAGTAGCGGGATCGCGTGAAGATAAAGAAGTTAGGACTTTATTTAAGTGTTTAGATTAGAGACACAGTGTTTTTATGGTGTGCTAGTGTTTTTCAAATTATGACTATGTTATTGTGATTGGTAAACTGACTTCTACATCTTCTTGTCACGATTCGGCAATCCTCTCTGTTCCCGGGACTTAAGTACACGAAAGATCGCACAATACAACGCCGTTCGTTAACCCATTTGTTGTATCAATGTTTTTCTCTTTTATTTTTTAATGTATACATACACACACATATATACATATATTTTATAATTGCAAGGTATATTTTTTCGGTGAACTTTTTTTGCGATCTTAGGTACTAAGAATTTTTTTGATTTATTTTATATAAGAAAAAGGGGTAGAACGAAAGCAGGATACTGTTTGATTGCCACGTATCTTATCGTCGATGTGTCCTTTTAGATAGAAAAAATGCGCGTAAATATTCAATTGATTTCTTTTTGAAAATCTTTTGTCAATTTCGACATAGTGTTGCGGGCTATTGGCGGCCACGAGCCATGTATCTCTCAGAAAACCGAATCGAGTCGGGTCACTGTTTATTTAATTCGTGACAATTTTACACATGTCCGTTTTATAAGGTATGATGCGTTTATATTACGTCTGTACATAAACGACAACGATGTTTATAAATTAATTAGTCTTTATCGCAAATATTGTAAATAGACAACGACCGTCAAATCGATCCTATCCTCGAGTAAAGAAAAAATAAAAAAGAAAATGAAAACCCAAGAAGTAAACGTCGATGAGGAGGCATTCACTGTGCTTACTGAAGAAAAAACTATTCGTCATTGATGTGCAGCTTACCGAACAGTACGATATTAATTGTGGTTTGTTGCATTTAAATCAAGATTACTTGCCAATCATTTCGAATGTAATACACGGTTGACATTAAAATTATAATTTTTGTGTAACATTGAAAGTTGATTTGGCGGTAACATTGCTTACGCAGAAACGTATAGCATTCGTAATAATATTGTATCTTCGACGTGGAAAGAGGACTAACTAACAGCATTCTTAACGTTATACGTTTTATTGCCAAATACCGATGAATCGATATATTTATCTGTATTCTCTTTTACGCGCAACATCAAATTTACAGATACTATGCTATTTCAGGTGCGACTTGTTAACCAACTACTATACGTTGAAAAATAGTCGGTTGGGTAAAGAGTTGATTAAAAGAAAAAAAAAGAAAAATGGAAAAAAAAAGAAAGAAACTCCGTTCCATGGATAACAGGAAAAGTATGTTCGGTAGCAGTAGTGTAGGAATAACTGGAAGATGTCGAATATAAGAAAAAGCAAGTATTATTCGCCGAGAAGTGTGTTTTCTCTCACATGTGCTGGCAAATTCAATGTATTATATACCTATCAAATAAATATTATCTAAATTAAAATGAATCCCATAAATTTCCTGTTATTTATGAATTTTAGTTAAATGTTTGAAAGTTATTCATTCGTTATAATTATTTTGTGTCCTCTGTAATTACAAAAGTAATAATTGCTAATAATCCTCTATATTCGAATGTTAAACGAAGGATAAATTTAGTGTTTTTACTGTTCAATTTTTGAATTTAAAACTCAGTAGTTCAATTGGTGTTTAACGCAAGATAGATGTCGTTGCAAGTTTTTATTTGGAATTTATATTTCCGTTCTTATGTTGACAATTGAAGTCAAGAATTGTGACATTGTATGAGTGGATTTTATTTACGACTTTTATTTACTATCTAATGAGTGTTTATGAGATTTCGTGTCTGTAAAACAGCGAAGGCGATTAGAGGATCAGTTTCATTATCCCATGATTTTCCTTAACTTCTTTACCTATGAAAATACAACTATAAATAATGGAAGGTTTAAAAGTGGAAAAAAGGGTTATGTCAGAAGATCTTGATGTAAAACCACGTGAACCTGTTCTAGTGAGGATTGATAAGAGTGGTTGTGCTCCTCATGACATTCATATTGATAAAAATGAGGTATTAACAAAACATCTATCACATGCCTTTTCCCTTGAACTTTTACTCGTATTTTGATTCAATCAATTTTTTCTAATTTATTTATAATAGTTTCAGATAGGTCGAGCAAGGGAGAATGATGAAATTATTTTGGATACAATGATATCTAGAAAGCATTGTGTTTTAAGATGCGAAGGTAATGAAGAGTGGACCATTAAAGACACAAGTTCTTCTGCTACATATGTTAATAACATTCTTCTTACTTCTGGTGTAAGTAAAAGACTCTTTGATGGAGATATTGTACAATTTAGTACATCTGAAAAATTTAAGTACATATTCACTCTTAGTACTAAGACTGAGCCTCAGAATAAGAGACCTAAATTAGATGAGAAGATACTTGACAATGTTCTTATAGAACAAAAGACATTTGTACAAAATCAAGAATGTCAAAAGAAAGTTCTTAAAGATAAATTGGAAACAAAACAAAAAGAACAAGATGATTTAAAGCTGCAGTTGAAAAAACTTTTAAATCAAGAAGCTATTACTAAAGAAGACACTGAAGATCTTAAAACACGAATTACAGTGTTAGAAAGTAAAATAGAATATGGCAATGTTCAAGAAAAGCATTTACATAAAATGTATGCAGAACTGTTAGAAAAGTTAGAGAATGAAAGAGTTCAATTTGAAAAACGATTAAATGATGAAAAACAAAAATGGGAAGAAGCATTAAATGTGAGTAAACAGGAAAAAGAAATGTTAGAAAAGGAAATGAAAGAACAAATGGAAAAGTTGAGAGTAGAACAGCAGGCTGAATGGAAAAATGTTATGGAAAATGTAGTTAAGGAAGAAAAGAATATACAAGCTCAATTACTAAATGAAAAAACCGTTTTGGAGAAAAAGCTAAAGGAAACAGAAAAAGCCTTAAAGGAAAAAGAAATTAAATCAAAGACAACACGAAATAATGGTAGTTTTTTTCCTAAATGGGCTGTTAAATTTTTAAAGAGAATGCAGAAAAATATATTGATTTTTAATTTACAGATGCAGGTCCTTCTGTGGAGGCAAATGACAGTATAATTTTAGAACTCTTAAATGATCATTCAGAAAATTATATCTTAGAAACAATAGATTTAACAACTTCTACTCAGCTTACTGTAGATACTAATGAAACAGAAGATGTATTTCATAAAGTTGGTGATATAATGGATGAGCAGTTAACTTGTAGTATATGTTCAGAATTGTTTGTTAAAGCAACAACATTACATTGTATGCATACATTTTGTGAGCATTGTATAAATTCATGGATGATCAAGAAAAGGGAATGTCCAGTGTGTAGAACACCAGTGTCAGCAATGAATAGGTCAATAGTTCTTGATAATTTTATTGATAGAATGATAGAAAATTTACCTGCTCAATTTAAAGAAAAAAGGAAACAAGTTATAGAAGAAAGAAGAGGTAAATATATTAAAAAATAGTATTTACAATTGTTATATACATATTATTTAAGTAATTTTCTGTTTCAGCGATGGAACGAAAAACCAAAATTTTAAAAAAATCTGCAGTGAGAAGAATCAAAATTTAATTAACATTAATGTATTTAGGCTAAGAATATTTTTCTAATAGTATTGTTTTTCGTAAGAAATGCATTTTCTTTTAAGTACAAATCTTTTAAAAAGGTAGAGTAGTATCATATTTTTCACACACTGTTCATAATATGTTACAAATCTTATAGAATAAAACGATAGATTGCTTCAATATATCACCGTTACCAAATGAAGGCTTCTTAACGAAGCTTTTGGTGGCGTTACACGTTAATTATAAGTTAAACTTGTATTATACTTTAAAAAGGAACTTTTATTTTTTTTTAAACTGCCAGAAATCGACTATTTTTTTTAATTCGATCCTAGCGTCATCTATACAAAAACGGCTGAAACTACTCAACAACTTACCGATCGATTTTCCGAAACAAGGGAGTACTCACGCGTTTAGTATAGGTGACGACAGGATCGATTTTCAAAGCCACTTAATTTACGGTGGGCTTTTTAAAATACATGTTTACGAATATAAGTTTATCAAGCAAGTATTTTAATAATTGTGTAGTCTTGTGCTGGTTTTGACTGATTTCTAGAAAACAGAAGCATAGGAAATCAAAATTGTGTCTTTTCAATTATGAGTGCGAGGTGTGGTAAAAGAGGAACTCATAAAACAGGTATGACTGTTACAACTATGCTCTCTATCTTGGGGTGTCCGGGAACCCTAAAATCGTTACCCTTTCAAGAACAAAAGCATTTCTAATCTTTTTGTATATGTAGTCACTGATGATTCATATACGATCGGAATTGCATGAGAATCCATGAAAATCTGCCAGGAATTAGTCCTCGAGGTGTTCACTTATGGAAACACGACTTTTAGAGAGTTGCCAGTTGTGATACCTAACTATACTGAACGTCGTGTAAATGGCGAAATATATACGACGGTACTAGGGTAAAGTGAGATCTTTTTGTTCGGAGGAGTGCTTTGTTGGTCCGTTAGTGCGATAAATTTTTCGTGTCGCTGACGGACCAAGCACGACGATATTGTTGCGTTGTTTTTCGCAGTGGAAAACGACACGTCTTTGGAAGGATGGCGACCTGACCCCTTCCAAATAATGGAATACTGTGCACAACGGTACGTTTTTCTGTGTAAGCAGGTCGTATCTACCAAACTATAGATAATTATTTTTTATATATATTGAATTTACAATGTATACCTGCACGGCAACTGTTCCTCTAAATTCCTTCAAGATTACCTGGTGTTATTAAGACAGTGTCACGCGTACAGCCATCGTAATGACAAATTCTTTTCACCTTTTTTTGTACTTCGACGACAAACATTATTTTTACATCGCATTCTTAACCACGTGTTTTTATTTATCGTATATTTATATATTTTTTAATTGTAATTCACTTTTCTAATTACACTTTATTGCATTATTTATACGCTTACGTTTCTCTTGGAGTTGTAAACGATATAGAATTTTGATAATGTAATGCTTAATATAAATATATTCTAGAAAGCTGGTATACTTATTTTTACTTTGTTTTATATTGACTTTTCATAATCTGTTATATACATTTTTTAATGACCTTTTTATTAGTTTTTCAATGGTATGTTAAGTTAATAAAATTTTTTTAATTGTAATATTAATTTTGTTATCCTTACTTTTTTTTCAGATTGTCTGTTTGAATTATATTCTATTGGTGCTATTAAACTTACAAGGTAAGTTCTGTTACATAAAAAAGAAGTTTAAAGTAAGAACTTATATCACATTTTATTTGATCTGATCTATACAAGTATTGAGTCTATTTAAATCATTAATTTATTATAATAATCATTATGTTTTGTAATTTGTTAAGATGGCTGATGTGGATCCTGAAACTTTATTGGAATGGCTTAATATGGGCCAAGGAGATGAAAGAGACATGCAACTAATTGCATTAGAGCAATTATGCATGTTGTTGCTTATGTCTGATAATGTTGATCGATGCTTCGAATGGTATGTCACACATGTTTAAAATAAGTACCTTCTGTTGATAAAATATATATAATATCTATATTCTACATAAAATTATTTATATTCCAGCTGTCCTCCACGCACATTTCTTCCTGCATTATGTAGAATCTTTTTGGATCAACTTGCACCGGATAGTGTTTTAGAAGTGACTGCTCGAGCCATTACATATTATTTCGACCTATCACCAGAATGTATACGCAGAGTAATAGCCATGGAAGGTGCTGTAAGAGGTATATGCAGTCGCTTGTCTGGAGCTGGATTAGGTTCCAGAACTAGTCGGGATTTAGCTGAACAATGTATAAAGGTATTGTATCATTTAGGTGACATTAAATACAACAGTAAAAATATTGTTAATCTTATCTTGTTTTAGGCATTAGAGCTTGTTTGCGCAAGGGAAGCTGGTGCTGTTCTTGAAGCAGGTGGCCTTCCATGTGCTTTATGTTTTATTCGGGAACACGGAGCTCTTGTTCATCGGGATACGCTCCATTCGGCAATGGCTGTCGTTACTCGTTTATGTGGAAAAGTAGAACCACAAGATAAATCTTTACCAGATTGTATCGAAGCGTTATCGACATTACTCAGACACGAAGATGCACACGTTGCTGATGGAGCCCTTCGTTGTTTTGCATCATTGGCTGATAGATTTTCAAGAAGAAATACAGATCCTGCTCCTTTAGCCTCCCATGGATTAGTTTCTGAGCTCTTATATAGGTATCTG